TATCACACTTTATTCATTCATCTGTTGATGGACAGTTGGGTTGTTTTCACCTTTTGGCTATTATAAATATTACTGCAATGAACATTGGCATACAAGTATCTGTTTGAATCTTTGGTTTTAGTTCTTTTGTATATATATCTAAGAGTGGAATTGCTTGGTCATATGGTAATCCTATGTTTAGTTTTTGGCTCCTTAACCAGCATACTGTTTTCCACAGAGTCTGCACCATTTTAGATTCCCACCAACAATATACAAGGATTCCAATTTCTCCAAATCCTCACTAACATGTTATTTTCCATTTATTATTATTATTATTATTATTATTATTATTATTGTTATTATTATTACCATCATCCTGGTAGATATGAAGTGATAAATTATTGAGGTTTTGATATACATTTCTTTAATAACTAATCATGTTAAACATCTTTCCATGTGCTTATTGGCCATTTTTATATATTCTTTGGAGTAATGTCTATTTAAGTCCTTTTTCCATTTTTGAAATTGGGTTGTTGGCCTTTTTGTTGTCGAGTGTAAGAATTCTTTAATATAATCTGGATTTTAAACACTTATCAAATGATTTGCAAGTAATTTCACCCATTTGTAGGTTGTCTTTTCAATTTTTTATTGCTTTTTGGTGCACAAAAATTTTAATTAGAATTAAACATTTTATAGAAGCCCAATTTATCTATATTTTCTTTTGTTGTTTGTGCTTGTGGGTTCATATTTATGAATCCATTGCCAAATCCAAGGTTATGAAGATTTTCTCCTTTGTTTTCTTGTAAGAGACTTATAGTTGTAGTTCTTATAGTTAAGTTATTAATCTATTTTGAGTTAATTTTTATATTTGCTTGTGAAGTAGCAGGAATCCAGTTGCCCCAGAACCATTTGTTGAAGAGAACTTAAGATGGGCTTGGTACCTTTGTCTAAAATCAATTGGTCATAGGCATATGAGTTTACTTTTGGACTTTCAATTCTATTCTATTGGTTTATATATCTGTCTTATGCCAGTACCACACTCTTGATTACTGCAGCTTTGTAGTAAGTGTTGATATTGGGGAAATATGTGTCCTCTGATTTTGTTATTATTTATCAAGATTGTTTTGATTATTCAGAGTCCCTAGCAATTCCACATGAATTTGATGGTTGGCTTACCCATTCTAGAAAAAAAAAATTTTGGAATTTTGATAGGAATTTCTTTGAGTTTGTAGATCACTTTGGGTAGTATAGGCATTTAACAATATTGTCTTCCTATCCATAAACATGGGATGTATTCCTGTTTATTTAGCTCTTCTTTATTCTCTTTCGGTAATATTTTGAGGTTTTGGTGTATAAGTCTTTCATCTCGGTTAAATTTATTCCTAAATATATATATTTTTTCTTTTAGATGCTACCATGAATGGTACTGCTTTCTTAATTTCCCTTTCTACATTGCAGGTCTATAGAAACACAGCTGTTATTTTTGTTTTGATTTTATACCCTACAACTTTGCTGAATTGTTAGCTCTTATATCTTTCTTGTGGATTATTTGGGATTTTCTTTCTATAGGATCACGTCATCGAGGATTAGAGATAGTTTTACTTCATGCTTTCCAACTTGAATGAATTTATTCATTTTTTGTTGTTGTTGTCTAACTGCTCTAGTAGTACAATTTTGACTAGCAGTGGTGAAAGCAGGTATCCTTGTCTTGTTCCAACACCTGCCTTTTGAGTTGCCTTGCTGTTTATTGCTCCTTGCCCTCATTTCAGTGAATTTTGGGGGATGGATGGGACTATTACATATTTTTCTTACTTATGTTGACCCCAGAAATGCGCTCGAGTTTCTTTTAGCAGGAGCTGATTGTTTTGTAATGAAAAATTTTTTTTTTATAGTCTGCTGTTGCCGGAAGCAACACAAGATGACACTTTGAAAAAGTCTGACATTAAAAATAGTAAATTAGTTCTCATGATGGCTTGATGGCTCTCACTCCATTTCATCCAGAATAATGAAAATAAGCTGTGTCATCACAACAGAAACTGAATTACAAAAACATCTGGAAGTTAGTCAAACTTATAGGGGTCATAGGTGGGTGGATGGGTTCTAGGGAAACTGGCTTGAAAGATGAGAGATAAACATATCTGTATCCCATACAAAAACCAAATTTGTTCCATTTTTTATTCAGACATCTACTCTAGTGTCCAATCACGCAACAGCTTGAAAATGTGTCATCAGTTGCTAGGGAACTTACCCTTGTGAACACAAATCATACACAGTTTAAGATGTACATCTGTGGGTTTATGGGAGGGAGAGAGTGAGGAAAAGAGGGAGAGAGTGAGGGAGGGAGGGAGGGAGGGAGCGAGGGAGGGGGAGGGAGAGAGAGAGAGAGAGAGAGAGAGAGAGAGAGAGAGAGAGAGAGAGAGAGAGAGAGAGAGAGAGAGAGATCTAAAGAAGGGAAGCCAGGAACACAATTTGGCTCTTCCCCTCTCTTCTCTTGCTTGTTCTTCCTGGAGCCTCAGCACCACACAAGGGTGAGTACACTCTACCTTTGGTTCCTGTGGACCCAGGTGTGCAAAGGCAGCTGTGCTGTCACCTGCCCAATGATCGGTTGAATACTGTGACATCCTGCCAATGCCTAGAGGTGATGTTTCCCAGTTACAGTTGCTGGGGGAAACTCAAGTTACAATTTCTTCACTTTAGGGCATGCAAAGTCTCAATCACCATAGTGAATTAATGTTGCATTTCCCTGGCTATATACGAAACCCATATGAGTGAGTGTCAGCTTCTGGGATGATTGAAGTTCAAATGTTCTTACTTGGATACTGTCAATCACTACTCCCTCACTCTCTGCTGAGTGCACTCAGCCTGCAGAGCCCAAGTGGGAGTCATGGGGGAAATACAAAGAAACTATCGGCAGCTCTCTGAGAAGCCTCTATCATGTGGTGGATGCATCTAGAGAGGCCTTCTGGCCTGATGGTGGAGTTAGTCGCCATCCTGAGAGATTTCCAAAGCTGATGGAAGAGATATAACCTCCAACTTAAGGAAAATCCTAGTGTGATGGGAAAGACATAGAGTTTGCTGAAAGAAAGCTCCTAGTGTGATGGGGGAGACCTAATCCCTGCCCGGGGGGACCTCTAATATGATGGGGAAGACACTCTTCATTGAAAGATGGAAAATGTAATGTAACCATCCTGTCCCCCAGATGTCATATTAGATAGGGGTGATCAGGCTATCTGGGGGTGACTGCTGACAAGAGAACCTCAGGACACAAGGGCTAGAGAAATCCTGACTACTCCTTCTTGCCCTCACCTCAAAGCTATTCTGAGTTTTTTCAATTCATGACCAGCCCAGATACAGATATAAGATACAACATGAAATTTTAAACACATAGGAAATTGAAAAGAATTGTGAGTACTCACAATGGAGTACTCAGCATTTAGATTCTACTATTGTCAACATTTTGCTATATCTTTTTCTTCAGATACTGGTCCATATAGCTATCCTTCGATACATCTTATTTTTGGAATATTTCAAAGTAAGATGCAGACCATCAGCATACTTCACTTCAAATACTTCAGCATGCGTATCATTAAGTTGAATTCAATATTTACTGTGGTTCCGTGTGTGTGTTAAATTTATATCAGTGAAATGGTGAAATGCATGAATTTTAAGTGTACTCTTTGAGGAGATTTGACAAATGCTTACACACGTGAAAACTAAATAACTATAGATACGGAACATTTCTATCATGCTCCTTTTCTAGTCAATCACTTCTCTCATTTTGCAGATGCAATCAGTTTTCATTAAAAAACAAACAAACAAACAAACAAACAAAAACCAAACAACCCTTTCTAGAATTTCACATAAATGAAATCAAATAGTACGTACTCATCATGTTTTTGAGATTCATCTATTTTGTCGCAACCCTTTCTAGAATTTCACACAAATGAAATCAAATAGTACATACTCATCATGTTTTTGAGATTCATCTATTTTGTCGCATATGTATTACTTTTTTTTCGTACCATCGAGTAGTGGTTACAATTTGTTTATCCATTCTCTTGTTGATTTGGGGTTGTCTCCAGTCAGGGGTTACCGTGAATAAAGGTGCTATGAATTTTTGTGGACATATGTTTTCCTTTCTTTGAGTAAATACCTAGAAGTAGAATTGCTGGATCATAGGTTAGGCATACATTCTGTATACCTACTTTATTGTTGAAAAGTCTGTTAAAATCTTTTGCCATTTTCTTTATTACGTTGTTTGTGTTTTTTATTGTTGTGTAACAAGTCCTGTTACAGGACTTGTATAAAAAGAACTACAACGCAACAAACAAATACACGACAATAAAAATGTTTTTTTTTTTTTAATACATCAATGTTTTGCAAACATTTTCTCCTAGTCCATGACTTGCCACTCATTTTTTTTTTTAGTCAGGAAGTAGGAATTATTGATGGGCATGAGTAAGGAGGGGCAGTGCTGAAGCCCTTACGAATGCTCACCATTTGTCCAGGGGGCCACTATTAGAGATGTATTTGACACCATAGCCATCTGGGATGAGCCACTTTTCAGCTACCAGGCCTTCAAATTAATCCTCATTAGATTTGGTAAAGCTCTACCTTTTGGAGTTGTGGCTCTCCTAGCAGCCAGGGAACTTGAACTTGGCCACGTGTGGGGCCTAAATCACTTGCTCTTTGTTCTGCAGCTTTGTAAGGATTGACATGATAAATGGGCCAATGTGGGCCCTGGCCACTATGCCCTGGGGCTTTCCCAAGGCACCCTGAATACAGAAGGTCTTTAAATAACATTGTTATGTTCAATGTTGTTTTGTTATAGTGTTGTTAAGATGCTGTAGAAACTTAACTGTTGTTTATATCAATTAGCCTATTGTAAAATTGGTTTTATTATAGGTCATTTCACTTAAAGTTTCAGAATCTATTGATGACATCAAGTGAGGACTTACTGTACTTGTCTAGGGCCTAGATTGGGGACAGCATGAAGTCAGACACGAATTTCCACCGGAAAGGGTGGTCCCCAAGGTTTCTTAAGGTAACCCATACAAGAAACAGGCTGCATATACTACCGAGGAGGCTGCTGTTTGCAGCCATTGCACGCCGTCATTTTCTTGACTATGTTTTCCATGAGCAAAGGCTTTAATTTTTATGAAATATAAATGATCGTTTTTTCTTTAACAATTATTATTTTTTGCCTTTCATCTAATAAATATTTGCCTATCTGGAGGTCATAAAGCTATTCTCTTATGTTTTGTTCTAGAAGCTTTATATATAGTTTTAACTTTATGTTTAGAGCTATGATTCATCTCAAATTAAATTTTATGTATTGTGTAAGTTAAGGCTCAATGTTCATGTTTTTTTTCTATATTGATAACCAGTTATTCCAACCACACCTGTTGAAAACACTGGTTTATCCATAGGATTGCTTTGGTTTCTCGTTGAAAATCAAATGACTTTATAAATGTGGGTCTATTTCTGGGCTCTCTATTCTGTTCCATTGAATTATCTATCTATTTATACTACCATTCCGTCTTGATGACAGTATACCTTCTTTAGAGCAAGACTTGAAATTAGATAGAGTAAGTCCTCAAACTTTGTTTTTCTTTGTCAAGATTGCCTCGGATATTCTAGGTCCTTTGCATTTCCATGGAAATTTCAGAATGAGCTTATCAATTTCTACAAACAAAGCCTATTGAGAATTGCGATTGGGATTGTGTTGGATTTATAGATCAAACTGGAGAGAATTAACATTTGAACAAGATTGAATCTTCTTTCTCATGGCTGAATAATATTCATAATATTCATAGACACTTAGGTTGTTTCTGTGTTTTAGCTATTTTAAATAATGCTGCAATGACCGTGGAAGTGCAGACATCACTTCAAGATTCTGATATCATTTCCTTTGAATAAATATCCAGAAGTTGGATTACTGGATCATATGGTAGTTCTAGTTTTAATCTTGTGAGGAACCTCTGTATTGTTTTTCATAGTAGATTTACCAATTTACATTCCCATCAACCGTGCACAAAGGTATCCTTTTCTATACATCCTTGCCAGCATTTGTTATTTCTTATCTTTTCTTGACAGCTTTATTGAGGCATAAGTGACAAACAAAATTCTAAGATATTTAAAGTGTACAATGTGATGATTTGATACACGTATACATTGAGAAGGGATTCCCCCTATTAAGTTAATTAACACATCCATCACCTCACATAGGGCATTAAGCTAAGTGAAATAAGCCAAACAGAGCAAGACAAATACACCATGGTATCACTCAAGAGGAATCTAAAAAAGAAAGAAAAAGTCAAACTCATAGAAACAGAGAACAGAAAGTGGTTGCCAGGGACTGGGTGTGGGGGAAATAGGGAAAGGTTGGTAAAAGGGTACAAACTTTCCGTTATGAGTGGGATAAGGTCTGAGGATCTAATGTACAAATGGCGACTGTAGTTGATAACACTGTACTGCATAATTGAAATTTGCTAGAAAGCAGATCTTAAATGTTCTCACCACCACCACTCCCAAAAGTCCCCCCAAACCTGACTTGATCTTTGAATAAACTCTAAAGTGCCAGGCATTGTGGAGGTGACTAGAGCTGAGGATGAGGATGGTGGTTATAATGATGGTGATGATGATGATAGCACAGGCACAGCTATTGGGTACTTGTTCTGTGCTAGGTTCTATTCTAAACACTTTAGAGTTCAATCCTCACAATAATCCTATGAGGCAAGCACTATTATTAGCCTTATTTTATAGATGTGGAAACAGATGCACAGAAAGAATAAGAAATTTGCTCATGATCTCACAGGAAATGGCAGATCAGGAGCCAGGCATCTTGGCTGAGTCCAATCCAAACAGTCGGGAACTCCCATTCCTGTGTCAGTTTACTACTTACAGAATAATAAAAATAACCACCACTTATTGGGTATTTAATAAGTGCAAGGTACTGTCTTGAGCACTTTAGATGTATTGTTTCACTTATAATCTTTTCCCCCCAAATCCTATAAAGCCAGTATTATACCTCATAGTTCATAGGTGAAAAATAGAGTTTCAAAGAAAGTTAACTTGCTCAAGGTCACGCAGCAAGAAAGATGCAGAGCTGGGACCTAAGCCCAGGTCTCCCTGACACCAAAGTGCATGCTCGTAACCATCACATTATGCTATTTCTGCTATCATAAGACCTCAGAATTGGAAGAGCCACCTTTAGAAGTCACCAAGCTCAACCTCCTACTTGATGGGGGAAGTTGTCCAGAGAATCTGTTACAGAACACCTACCCAGCCCAGTTTGAATGCTTCCAGGGGTGGAGAGCTCACTCCTTCCTAAGGTACCCTGTCTGTGGTTGCATAGTGCTGATTGCCAGAGAATTCTTTTTTTTTTTTGAATGAGCTCAAGAAGTCAGCCTCCTTCAGTTTTCAGCAAGTCTCCTCCAGAACTGCATATATCCCCCTCCTGCAGGACAGACTATGTGCTCCTCCAGCTTTGTCAGTAAGAGGATTGAGTCAAATCCCATAGGCCAGAGAGGGGGCCCCGAAGCTGTGCAGCAGGGGTGGGGAACCGGGGAAGTTGCAGGCATCCCTGGGAAGAGATGTATAATTGTTGTAAGTCTTTCATCTTAAGTGGTTTCTGATCTGTCTGGCTGAGTGATTGCCTAGAGCCACTCCGTTTAACATTCATGTAGACTCTGGGCTTGGCTATTGCAGGAGTAAATCACCCATGCCTGCTTTCGCCACACCCTCCCCCCCTCAATTCTCAGTCCCCCAGGACAAGTAGCTCCCTGGTCTCCATGGCAACGGGGCCATCTGTTTCATACGGTATCCTAGGCCAGGAGAAGTCCATTCTGTCCCAACTCTGCTAAGTTATGGGTAGTTCAGGACAAACCAGAAGAAGGAGGGGGGTAATAAGGAGGAGGTGGGCCTTTGTAGTTCCTTCTGATCCCATTTAGAGAAAGGCAGCCCGTCAGAGCTGGAAGAGCCCTCAGAGGTCCATCGACTCAACATCTTCATTTTATGTATAGGAAACTGGCTTCAGAGAGGAAAAGTGGTAGTCACACAGCCCATTAGTGACAGAGCTGGGTCTAGTGGGCAACTGATAAACATTTGTTAAATGAATGAATCATAGAATCATAAAGAGTTGGTGGCAGCCAACAAATTATGCCAAAATTGCCATTCAGTCCCTGACAGTGTCCAGAAATTATACTCTACAACAGATGGTCATTCAAACTGTGTTTGAGAGCTTGAACTATGCTTGATCACTATCTTAACCACTTCTATTGCTGGATATTTTGGATATAGAAAGTTCTTCTATGTACTGAGAAGAAGCCTGGCTCCTTGTAATTTTACCCATTGGTCCTAATTCTGTCTTTTGGAGCCACAAAGATTCCCAGCCTTTCACATGTGTTGTTTTATTTGACTAGCCCTGGGGGAAGTCTGAGAAGAGATGATTCCCCACCTCGCAGGGGTATGGAGGGGTGAGGTAATTGACCGGAGGCCCAGAGTCAGGTTAAGAGCCCAGGTGTCCTGGCCCTTAGGTAGGTTGGGTGGGGGGCAGGGGGAGTTGTCTGTTACCTCCTCTGGGTGCTTCCCATTCTCCTTCCATTTGGGGGATGGCCCAGCCCGTTGTTTGTCTGTACTATTTATGGAGTTAGTTCCTAAGCTACATCTTCTACCCAGCCCCTTCCACTCCTTTCATCCTGGACCTGTTATCTCTGTAGGCTAAGAAAGCAGTCCCCCTACCCAACTTCAGGCCCAGACCTTGTATGTGAATGAAGATGGTGCCAGTTCCTGTCTGCCTAACCCAGCCATTGCCCTCAGGTCCCCCATCACTGCAAGAACAGCCTCCATGAGCCTAAAAGGTGTGAAGCCTAGAGAAATGAGGAAAGACCAGGGTATATCTCATTTTTCTGCTGGTAGGACTCTGCTCTATAATTATTGAGGAGCTACTAAGCTCCCCAAACATTTCCTTTCTCCCTTTTTAATTCCCCTTAATACCTTGTATTTCCTGCAAGAAGTTTCCAGTGGGAGAGGGTTTGTGAGGGTGGGCTGTGGGCATAGTGCCAAAAGAGTAGTCACTTTGGGGGACAGGGCTAGAGGAATAAGGAATGGTTGGGGCAGGAGGCAGAGTTAGAGCTGAGAAGGAGGCAGTACAAGGTGACATTTGGGGTACCATTCTACTTTCTTCCTTCCCACCTCTCTTAAATTCTGTCTCTCATTCCTGTTCTCCCAATTAGCCTAAGAAGCCCAGAATAGTAATAGGCCAGGCTTTTAGCTCTCAAAATGAGCCGACTGCTACTGGAGTGGATGGACATCTGGATTCTCTGCATTAACTGAGACCTTGCTTTCTACCATAAGGGGCAGTGGTTTAGCCAGTCAGTGCAGGCATGCAAATGAGAGAATCCTGAGTAGCCTTTCCCTGGCCAGTCCTTAGCAGAGTTATAATCTTGGCTCTCTGATTGGTCATCACAAGACTGAGCTTGGGAGTTCAGGCTCCGTTATCTTTCTTAATGCGCCAGTGGGCAGAGGAAGAAACAAAAGAGTAGATAATTAGAAGAACCCACACACATACTTTCAGTTCATTTTGGAATGTATTATATCAAAATTTGTATCATGTTTGACTTCAGATAATCTAACGATTAATTGACTTTTGGTGGTCAGATGGCATGGGGCATGGGGGATTGGGACAGGTGTGAGAAGGGCAGACCAGAACAAACATTGGATAGATATAGTAGCTACTGATCCTTCACCCCATTCCTTTTCCACGTTGTTATCTTGCCTCCTTTTTGATTGGTGTCAGACCTTTCTCTGTTGCCTCCCCACCCCCATCAGATATGTTCACTGAGACCTCCCCAACATTCAGCACCAAGGCCTCTGGGTGTGCCTGGAGCAGGGTTCTGTGTGCACAGACCAGACATGAAGATGAATTGTTCTCTGCAATAAATATTGACTGACTCATAAATCTGGTTGCCAGATTCGATCAAAGTCGCTGCCTGCATAATCCAGCAGAGGGAAGATGCCAGATAATTCTGTGCTGGGTCAGCTGATTCCCGGGGGAAGATGTTGTATAAACATCAATGTTTCTGCTTTGTGCAACTTGGGGACTGTGTGAGGGGGCTGGAGAGAACAAATCCTCGCAGGCGA